TATTTTAGATTATGTAGAAACAGTAAATCAAAGATTAAACATTGTGCATGAGTTAGCTTTGGGCTGAAATGATAAATTATATAATTTATATAATAAATTTATTATTTTAGACTTCACTACACTTACTGCATGCATTTTAACGGATTTTTGTATAAAATAAACATGCTATAAACTAGAAATAAAGACATTTGTAAATAAATTATAGAATAATGGTGTAAAAATTAATGATATTGTGGAAAATACGTCGTTTATTTGATCGCTAGAAAAGCGACAATGTCAACCAATTTTTGGTTCGTTAGAATGTTATTAGGTTGATCTATCTCATACTTACAAAAAATAGTTTATTAAGTGATAGTTAATATTTTACGAAACTGAGTCGTTAAAATAGATTCTAGTATTATTGCATCTTTTTTATATGCAGAATAATTTGCAACATTTTCCTGTATTATATTATTTTTAAAAAATAAACTTGCAAATTAATATTGATTTAAATAATATTCGTATGTTGTGCACCAATTATGATTGGCTCAAAATATTTTGGCAAAATTTCTTCAATAGCGAAGTTGTTCACTACTTTCAAAGAATTCATAAAGGCATCACAATTATTTTCTAAATTAAGCCAATGTTAGTATGACATCCAAATGTGAAAACATTACGTGGCCACATGAAAACTCTTCCAAGAAAATAAATAATTATGATGTCGACGTCATAGCTGGTCATAGCTCATGTTAAATTACCAAATATCTCACCGGAAAGCTATGACTTGAATATTTTTTATGATGTTGTTGTATGTGCATATATGGTGGGGTTATTCATTGAATGAAGAAGTTATAGGTACTTTCAAGGTTTTATCGGGCGCTTATAAGCTTCTTCATGTATTAGTTGAATATATTTAATTAAAATATGAAGATAAATTGATCGAACAACTTTTTAAGCATAATTCATTCGATCCAATACATTTTTTTATGCAGAAGTAACTGTAGAAATATTTTTTATTTGTTGAACAAAAAAAAAAATTAAATTTATAGATATTTTTTTTCCCACCAATAAAAATTTAAAGATAATTTAAAAAATAACGCTAAATTTTACACAATTATATATTGCTGATAATTGTTCTATTGAAAAAAAAATGATATTATATGCATTACATACGTCTTATCAATGATTAAATAATATCGATATATAAAGTATCTAATAATCACCTTTTGTTGTCAAATGTGAAACGCAGTAATCGACATACCTTGTCTTCGTCTTAATTTGAATTGAAGTATTTTGAATTGTAACAATTCTGTGACATATCTGATATGGTAACGCATTATAAACTGTAAGAAAAGCCGGCAATAGCTCAGTTGGTAGAGCGGGAGACTGTAGTGAGATAATAATCTCAATCTGTCATCTCTAGGTCGCTAGTTCAAATCTGGCTTGCCGGAAATAATTATTTTTTTGTTTTATAGTGAACAATGGTTGTTCATTATTTATGGCGCAGATTTGTAATTATTGGCTTGGGATATTTATTATAAACGTGGTTTTTTTTTAATTTTTTTACTTTATACATATTTGTAAGGTGGACCATAAACAAATAAGGATACGATAAAGTATTAAAAATGGCTTAAAATATTTTTGAATAACCTAACAACAGGAATAGATTTATCCATGTCGAGCCTAAAACAAGTATTAAAAATAAAATACTGCGCCACATGATTTTTATTAAAATATACAAGAGGCAACTTGAATACTACTTACTATAATGGGCTATGAATCGATGACCTACCTATTAATATTATCTTCATTTTGTTTTAAACTTTCTGGTGATCGAAAAGCTAAGCCCGTATTCGACCGGTTATTATCTAGAATTGATTAGCGGGCTGTGAAGCAAAGCCTTTTTTTTTTAATTTGGAGAATTCATTACACAAGTAAAGTATATTCTACACACGATTCTCTTAACCATCTCATATTCCACCATTTTTTTGATTTCAAGATATGAGTACATTCTTAAAAATACTGTAAATATTTATTTATAATTTTAAAATATATTTAAATATCATTTTTTAAAAAAATTAGTAATTAAATTAAAAAGTTTTTTTCTTTATCAGCACACAATCACTAACATTATATAAATTTTTTTAACATTATTTATTCAACATTTCACTTTGCGATTTTAAAAATTATTG